AAAGGAGCCAACAATGGACTGAAAGCGGTCTCATTGCTATGCAATGTATACACCACCTGAGTATTTACAAGTGTTACCTATGTGTGACGAATAGATTGTCTCCATAATGAGCTCATGTTTCATCCTGCATACCTTTCCCAATACAAACATGAACATACTGAAGAACAAAAAGTTCAGATCACTGTGCTTGTCAACTCAAATACCATGTGTGGCATTTATCTAAATACCTACAACTGCCTGTGAAACCCTTCTCTCCTAAGCTGATGTCGCAAGGGAGCATTTTGTTTATTAACTACAGTAACATCTGGAAAGAAAGGGGCATGATGACAGCAATCTAACATAAAATGAAGGACATGCCTCTGTATTGGTATGAGCAAAAACAGAAAGAAGTGTGAAATGCCTTACAATGAAGAAGACAACAGAGAAGAAGAGAAGCAGGTTGGAAATCTTGCCAGAGAAGAGAGCTTCTCCTTTGCCCTCAGACAGCACCTGGCGCTTCTGAAGTACCAGATAGATGAAGGCAAATACCATGCCATGTATCACTGCCTGTAAAAGAACATTACTACATTAAAACAATTTTGAGTTTGAAAAAGCTTTTGATGTACCCTGCAATATATCACATGACAAAGAATGTCTTGATGTGAAGACTGACTACTACATTTGTGTGCATGTGGAGCAAAACACATTTGACTTACAAATCGGTCGAGCTTCCATCTGAACCACCACTCGTGGATGCTTCCGTTCAGCTCAAAGAGCTCAGAGATGGGCCACACGGAGAAGACGTTCTCAAATAAACGCTGGAGTCACAACGCCAAAACATAATTGTATAAGCAGGGTTTCAAACAAATCAGTACATGAACTTGAGAGAGAGAAAAAACTGATAGCAAAGTAGTTCTCAAAGTAGGAAGTGACAAATTGTGTAGTTTTAATTAATTTGCTGACTACACCATCTTAATGCATTTTCATCCATTTTGCTTAATTTGAGCTAAAAGAAACATGATCAAGTACAGCATTCTTGTATTTGAAAGTACATTGTCTTTCAAACTGTGCTGTGCAAAGGCATAACAAATAACATCCATCCCTCCATTTTCTTGTGCATATTTGAGAGCGGTTTGTGGTTGGCAACAGGTGTTCTGGTTCTACCCCAGGGTCTCCTACCAGTAAGACGTGCCCGGAAAACCTCCAAAGGGAGGCAACCTGATAAGATGCACGGACAACCTCAACTGGCTCCTTTCAATGTGAAGGAGCAGCAGTTCTACTCCAAGCTTCTTCCAGATGTCTGAACTCTGCACCCCATCTCTCCACATTACTGCTGATGCTGCCCCCATCTGCCTGTCAATCTCAGGCTCAATTTTACCCTCACTCGTGAACAAGACCCTGAGATACTTAAACTCCTTCACTTGGGGCAGCAACTCATTCCCAACCCAGAGTGAGAAGTCCACCATTTTCTGGCAGAGCACTGTGTCCTCAGACTTGGAGGTGCTAAATCTCATCCCTGCCACTTCACACTCAGCTGCAAACCATCCCAGTGCATGCTGGAGTTCACAGCCTGATAAAGCCAGCAAAACCACACCATCAGCAAATAGAGATGCAATTTTGAGGTTTCCAAACTAAACACTCCCCGCCTGGCTGTGCCTTGAGATCCTGTTCATAAAAACCACAAAGAGGATCAGTGACAAGGGACAACCCTGACAAAGGCCAACACTAACTGTGACTTCTTGCCAAGTATACAGACAGAACTCTCACTTCGGTTATGCAAGGAATGAATGGCTTGCACCAACAACCCCGCCAGGTTCCAGGCTAGACCAAGTACAAATTGATCCCTGGCTGCGTAGGCTAGCTCTAGGAACGTGGACCATTTATACCTCTCATATGAAATTAAATCAGTAATGCAAATGTTTTCAAGTATGAAAACTAAAAGAGGTTACAACTGCTACTATTAAAATTTTTACTTAAAATTCACTTACCTGTGAAAAAGCAAAACAGCAGATGAACAGCAGGAGGCCCAGTAACTTTATCAGGACCACAAGATGCCACATACCACTGCCTGATCAGAAAACAAGACAGACATTCTGCTGACATATAACAGACATCACATTTATTGTGTAGAATTAATCAAGTGTATTGATTCATAAAGTCCAGGACCAACTACGGCACCAGTTTCCTGACACCTACTGTTGGCCTTCTTCTGAAGGATCTGAGGCCACATCACCAGTGTGCCGTAGATAATGACAAACCAGAAAGTGACCAATGGGACAAAATAGTAGAACTGGTAGGGTCTGTCCATTACCACACACAGCACAACGACCAGGAAGTTCAGACGGAAAAGCACCTGTAATGGAAACACACTTGGTAAACCAAAATACCTATATTTGCTTTATTATCAGTAATATGATAGTATTTCATGTCAAAGTACAAAAAGACTAGTAACTGTAGTCACTAAGGGTGTAAAGGTACACAAAAATCATAGTTTGGTATGTACCTCAGTTTTAAATTCAAATGAGTTTGCCAAAACATACCTGATCACCAATAAATGTATTAAGCAGCGGACCGCAGTGCAATAAAGAAATAAGAAATCTTATTCACTTGTCTTTGTCTGATGTTGTATTTCACCGGGAAGCCAAAAGTGCTCCCAAACAGGAGACCTTAATGATAAGGGAAGGGGCTTCTAACCTTGGGTTCTCATTTGTATTGGCCACACTGTTTTCTATCCAGAGGCTTGGCTAAGCTAAGCATACTGCACTCTCATCTGCCACTTAATATGTTCATGTGGGAACCCAAAACAAGCCTATTAAGACTTCATAAAGTTTTTTTTTTCCCTAATGCATATTCCTTTTGCTTGTTTGCACATTACTTTCTTTCCTGTCTGTTCTCTCAGCCTTATATTTTTTACTTGCCCATTGCTGCCTTACATAAGGACATGTACATACACACTGAGAGCTGCTGTACCAGAGTAAAATTTCTCGTGTCCAACACACCTGGGGCCTATTTCAAGAAGGCGGTTTTGTCGAAACTCAGAGTTTGTTAACCCCGAAATGAGGGCAACTCGGAGTTTTCGGTTTCAAAATGAAAGGTGCCCATAGCCGGTCTGAAAAAGGTAGCCTGCCACCAGCACCCGCACATGCATGTACACTGGAATGAACTGAAAGTCAAAACAAAAAAAATATGCCATTAAATCAAATATCAGTATATGCTGCCTCAACTACTCTCAAATGTATATGAAGAAGATCTATTTAGGACTCACAGCGCTGGCACCAGACATGTGATAGATGAGGATGACAAGCTGCATCCAGCCTTTCCATTCATCTGTTTGGTCACGGTTGAGTAATTTGGTCTGTACAAAAGAGAAGTAAAACAGATATCAATTCACAAACTTTAAATGAACGCCGTACATCATTACAGACAGCAAGATTCATTAAACTGGTCTGTGTATTCAGACAAAAGACGCATGACAAAAATGTAATGTTTTCATTCATTAAACTGGTCTGTGTATTCAGAATAAAAGGCGCATGACAAAAATGTAATGTTTTTAAAAAACAAATTTTTCCCCACACCAAATAAGAAGAAACAAGCCTTTAATTTGAAAAAGAAAAATACTGCACTGAACAGCACTTTCCATCTTACCTCCTTGCTGTTCTCACTGTAAAACACACCCAGGACAAATATACAGATAAGAGGGATGAAGAATGTGGAGTGTGTGTAGAACTTCTGTTCTTTCATGAACACGTCTGCTCTGTCACAAAGGTAGAAATAGCCCATGATGATGCCCATCTTGCAAACAGCCAGGAAGGGTGCCTTTGGACCTGGGGGGGCAGCTGCTGTCACTGGCTTCTTCTCCTCTAGGCTCTCCACGTCGGGAGGCACAGGTCGGCGATGATGGTTGTTGCCAAGGAGGTGGAGGACCAGTAAGACCAGGGCTGAGCCCAGAAAGAAGCACGCTGCCAGTTTCTGAAGGAGGTTAGGGGGTGGTTTTGTTTGGCAGCAGGAGCCATCAATGGGCTTCAGTAACTTGTTACACACAGAATTCATGAGGACCATGGCTCCCTAACAAGAGGATTACAGACAATGGATGTGACTAATACTCTACATTAAATATAAAAGAACCACAATAACTAAACCTGAATTATTAAATAAAACAATCCTGCCTACCACATCCCTGGTGCTCTCAGGCATATGCAAGCCGTCATCTGACTGTGCGATAGTTCCAAGTGCAGCTTGACGAGATGCGGCTAACAGCTTGACCCTGGAACTCCCATTACGCTTGCTGTTGCTGAGCACTTCTGTCGCTGCTTCATTGTACAGGTCCAGCTGTTGGTTAGTGATCATCTTCCTGTTCTCACTCAAAACCTCCTCATTTACCGGGTCTGCAGGGCAGATGTGTTTGGAAAAATTTTGCGAAGAAGGTGCATGAATGAGACGCTGAGTTTACAAAATTTTGCTATCATGTGTCACCAATCATTAGTCACTTAATACTATTTGGGAAATTGGGGTTTAGTGATGAATTTATAGCTGAGTTGACCTTGCAGCATCCAGTAGACCTCTCCATGGTCAGCCAGCCTCTGTAGATGCACAGCAATGGCTGTCAGGTTGACTTTGTATTGCTGCAGGGCCTCTCTGCTGCCACTGTGCAACTTGATGGACCACTGGGACAAATGGACAAATTGTTGAACTTAAGACTGAAATAGCTGACATTAGCATGCAAGCACTGTTAGGCTTTATAGAGCTTACTGTGGCAGCTCCAAGGATGACAACATCTGGCTTTACCGGTACTCCCTGCAACACAACATGTTGCAATTATAAAAGCAAACCACAGATTCAAGTTTATGAATCCTCTTCGACTAATAATGCTCCCCAGTTGTTGATGGCAGAAAACAGCTATACTCACACGTATCCAAGAGCTTAAACGTTCCTTCATTGAATTATTTGCCTCTGGATACCACAAAAAGTCCTAAGCACACAGAGCATGTAGATGTTTTTAGCTTTTATCAGAGTATTCTTTTACAGACTGAGGACAGGAGATAAAAACACACCCAGAAATAGCTCACCACATTAATAAAGGGACGGTCTACTTCAAAGGAAATGTCCTCATGCTTCAGACATAGAGACAAACAGAGAAAGAGTCTGTTAGGCAAATAGTGTTCCACAATTACCTTGCATTCTGTATTTCTTTATCTGAATTTTTTGGCACTTGATATTAAGGTTTTGCTGCAACACGTCTTCTCAAAGCCACCTATACACTTGCAATCAAATTTACATATACATGGAAAAATATCAGCATTTCTTAAATTAAGGCCGGATCTTTAGTGTCAGATTAAACAACAGCAAGTATCAAAAACTGATCACAAATTATGTGATGTTTTCAAATTCAACTACTGTATGTAAATTAAAAATGATTGATTAGTCAGACCTACATTTTGTAGGCTATCATTCAGGTAAATAATCTGAATATTGCAATTACAAGGAGGAAGGGGACTGTTTTAAGTTTTTTCCAGTCAGTAAGCAGGAAAATCTTCAGACATAATCAAGAGGTGTACAAGAAGTTTATAACCAGGAATTACTTCATGTAATTCCGCCTGACTGTTACACTCTGTTTGCACATGCATAATTGCACATTCACTGCTGACTGTTGCACATACAGCGTCCGATGTAGAATACATTCTCATTGTTATATTATCATTATAAATTTCTTTTCACTTGCTATTTTTAAAGTGCCTTTACATTGTTTTACTATTTATCTACTGTATATTAAACCTTATATTGCTTGGCATTTATTGTGGACAGCAAAGTAAGAATTTCATCATCATCATCAACTTTATTTATATAGCACATTTAACACAGCCAAAGCTGACCAAAGTGCTTAACACAATATCCACAACACCCCTTAAAAAAACAACATAAACGAACAGCAAAACAAAAACATCATACTTAAAACAACCCCCTATCATAAATCACAAGCTCAACAAGACAGAGGATCATACTGGTTCGAACACCTGACGGTACAGATGAGTCTTCAAATAGGTTTTAGTATTTAGGGATGTAGCAATTCTGTAAGATAAAGGGGGGCCAAACCATTTAAAGATTTAAAAACAAATAAAAGAATCTTAAAATGGATTCTAAAACACACCGGCAGCCAATGCAGGGAAGCCAAAATGGGTGTGATGTGGTCACTTTTACGCCCTCCAACCAATAGACGAGCAGCAGCATTTGGACTCTCTGGAGGCGGGCAAGGGCGACCTGACTGAGCCCAAAATATAGTGCATTGCAGTAATCCACACGAGACGTAATAAATGCATTTATTACCGTCTCAAAATGCTGCCGTGAAAGAAAGGGCTTCACCTTTGCCAGCTGCTGGAGGTGATAAAAACTGGCATTCACCTGACATTCCATTCTAAGAACAAAGTGCAGAGTTCATTGTGCAGGGAAACGTGTTTCCTTACTGTGCATATGACAATAAACACTTTGACTTGACTTGAAATATAACTTTCTAGCAGGAAAACACAAGTAGGCCACAAAGCTGTTACACTTAATACAGACAGCTCTACTTCACCATTGGCACAGAATTTTAGATGGATCAGCTACTTTATATGGGCTATATATGATAGGATATTAAAAAAGGAATAGAAAAACCCTTTTTTTCCCCCATTCTATATCCACTCGTTTTGATTGGATGCTTTTAGTTTAAAGACTGGTCAGGACACGTAAGCAGAGAGTAAATGGAGGAATGTCTGAACTTGATCCCTTTTTCTACCCAGTTGTGCCTCACATCTGTAGAGCCATAGACTTGTAAGTCCATGCAATTTCACCATGCTTTGTCCCACACCTTTTGCTACCTCTGATGAACACGTTCTTGACAAAAACTCTGAGGTCACTGGTATTGGTTCTCATAATTACCTTGATTCCTTCTTCTCTTTGCTCAGGGGCAATAATTTTGATGAAGGAGTAAAATAACTGCCTGATTCGTGAATCACCAACAAAGGCCACACGCTTTTCAGCCAAACAGGTTTTGGCTTCACTGTAATAATAACTGCCTGATTCGTGAATCACCAAGAAAGGCCACATGCTTTTCAGCCAAACAGTTTTTGGCTTCACTGTAAGAAGAGAAGAAGAGACAAAAGAATGGGTAGGGCATGTGAAAAACATGCCTTCTAACAACTGCAACAGCAAACAAGTAGGTGCTGGGTGGTTCATTGCATTGTATAACCCTTTTACACATAACCTGTTCATTTCCTCTATGAATCCACCCTTACAGACACGCACCTCATCATCACTGCTGCACATTCAGATCTTTGTTTCATATATCTGTACATATGGTGATCTTACACAGTTAACATGACTCACTTGCTTTTGTATTTGTGCATAATACAGCCATAAGGCTGCCATACGTTCTCCCCCAAGTAACGTCCTCTGGACAGTAGCCATTCACATGAGTCTCCTCCTGGAGGCACAGAGAACCAACCAGTGACACCAAAAAAAAAACTCACACTGCTCTGGTTTTCATTCATAGCTTGTCTCTGACTATGACTGAAACCTGCTGGTCTCAGTTGTACCCTGGCTTTTCATTCAGTGCTGCCAAATGACTGGGACACAATAAGGGCTCTGCTAGGGGCCACAGAACAAAAATGAACCTATCAGCAATTCAGCTCAACTATAAATCTCTCCCGCTATTCATTTGTACAGAAAATGAATAGAGCTATCTGCAACTGAGTCAATCCAAAGAAACAGGCGAATATGAAGGGTTGGATGGCTGGCAAAAGCCATTTTAGTGTCATTGCCAGCCATGCACCTGCTATCAGTGTGTAGACAGACAGGCCCTATCTGTTTTAATGAACAAAGTCCACAATATGGAAACCTTGTGGGAGGTGGTGTATGTCAAGCTAACATTTCTTTATAGTATAACTCTGGGCTTTGTGCAAACACTGTCATGGCCAGTCCAGGTACAAGCAAACCCACCTGAAGTGTCCAGGTCAGAATGTGTCTTAAAGAAATAGCACTCAAACAAACCTTTGCCCAACAACCTTATACAAACTCGGTAAAGACCTGACTGGAAGAACCAATGCTACAACACAAACTAGAGCTACACAGTTTGATCTTTGTTAGCCTTACTACAACACATTTCTGACACAACTAATTTAAGAAACTAAGCTTCTTTCTTGAAATAAAAGAACAGCTATAGCTGGCGGTTTAAATGCCATTTTAACAGTAAACGCCCTGTTCTGTTAAAACACCAACATCCACACGGCTTCCCCAATAGTAATCACGCGTGTGCTGACAGGAGCATGTAAACACAGCTAGATGCAGTGTTAGCTTTATTCAGCTAGCTGGTGAGAAAAAGCAGACTGAAGTTCACGCTACTGCTGTTACTGAATGCTTTATGTAAAACCTACATTCTCTGCCCTTCACCTTTAACAACACCAGATAACGCACCATACCGATCCAGAGCAGTACTCACAGACACAAACAGCTAGCTAGCTAAAGTTAGCAATCGCTTCTGTCAAGTGTTTCACTGACTGTATCATTAGTTTAATAATAACAGAGACCACTTACCTCCATAATACCGCGACGCTGTGTGAAACACGAGGAGTGAAATAACGAGTGCTAGCGATATTAATTTGGCATTTTTAATGGTAAAATGTTGATTTATTATGCGTTTGCCTAGGCTATAGGCCAGGACCGCCATCTTTGCTCCTCCATGACAACAAGCAGCTGTGCAGTTTAGCGGCGGCGGCGGCGCTCCTTCTGGTTCACCGCCTTCGCTAAGAGACACTGTCTCATTCTCCATCGCCGCTGGTCAAAACAGGTGACAAAGTAAAATTCAGGGGTCTCCCGTTTAAATTACTCCACCAAATTGTTCTATCAGATCACAGCCACTTTACTGGAATACTGGAGTACAAAGTTCAAGTGCCTTCAAAGTACTTCGAAAGAGAATCTCCACCTGTCACGTAGGTGTTACCGTTCTTCCAGGATGTTGACATTGTGGCGTGTCGCTGTATTTAATACTATAATTGTATTGTCTTTGCACTTCGATCACTGAATATACAATTGTATGCAATTCAGTGCAACACTTCCACCTTAACACACCTGTTTATGAAGCTCAAAATGTTTCAGTTTTTGGTGAAATTGTCACAAATGAGCTGGACACTGAGCTGATTTTTAGCCCACCAGACAAAGTGTAACAAAATTGTAATGTTGGAGAATACAATGTTATTTTGGTGAATTTTGCTAGTGCATTGTAATATGTGTTGAGAATGGTATTAATATATACTCTATACACGTTTTAAACCTGAACATATCAAAACGAAGTTGCAGATTTTGGTGTTTGTGCTAAGATTTACAGTTGATAATACACATTTAAACATACTAAAGAATGGGTAAGTATCCCTATGGAATCTCAGTACTGTTACGTTAAGTGGCCCCATAGAGAGGGGTACCAGCCACCCTAACCTAAAATACACATACAATGATTTTGTTGACACCATTACAGGGGACATTATTCTCCAACCCTAATCTATCATCATACCATGCACATATCAGAGCATTTTTTCCCACTCTGTCTTCATCAAATCTTCAAATGTACTAGGTATAAGTAAATTGAAAATATTTTTGTGGACATGTCTGGAATGTGTGATTGCATACTGACTGTTGTTACATGTTTGAAATAATAAATAAATCAAATCAAATCTACCCACACTTTAAGACCAGCAACTTTCCCTGTGCCTGTTATCACATACAATATGTGTGTGTGTACCAGAGAGTCATTTGTTTGGTTGAGAGGAGTCTCTGCCTCTACTCCAGCCGGAGGGAAAATAACAAGGAAATGGGCAAAATATTTTTAGGAGACAACTGCTATTTACATAGCAGAAATTCACTTATAAAACGTGAATTTTACGTCCCTTATTGGCATCAAATTCTGTGATCAACGGCACTCATTTACTTCCCCTCAAATGAGACTATGTGCTTCAGTTAACTTCACATGTGGCACAGAACAAACCAGCACAGCCTTCAAAAACAGAAAAAAAACTGTGTTTCTTTAGCCTTACTGTTTAGAAACAAATTTAGAACGTCGAGAGTGGACAGTTCACACATCAACTTTAATTTAGAATAAATTCAATGTGCGGAGTTTATGTATAACAAAGGTTCCGCTTACCTATTTTCTGTCCGGCCAGTTGATGTGTGGGACTGCTCACAGCTCTGACTGCAACCAGGAGGTCACTCTCTGATCAGG